TGAAAATATCCGACAATTTATCTGCATAAAAGCGCAGTGTGCAACTTTGATGTAGCCTTCACTGGATTGATGGGCGGGCCAAACTTTGCTGGCAATTAGTAAAAATTTAAAGGCTGACCTCGTGATTTATAAGGTTCCCTCGTGCTAAAGCACACACACTTTCGAGAACGATCCGATTTCTCTCTTTAAAAATACCAGTGACTCGCAATTAAGGAAAATGCCAATAAATTTAAAAATATAATATTATTTGTATTTATATGTATAATATGTAATTATGTAGAGTTCACTAATTGAGATGTACTTCAAGAAATATAAACTAAAGGTTCTTCAAGAGAATTAATGCTTATTGTAAATGGATCTGAATCGAAGTTATTTATATTACAAATATGATAATTCCGAGCGCGTCTTTCATAAATTTAATTTAATAATATAACGAGCTTCAAATATGTAGACATTTTTAATTTATCGATGATCTCAGTTGATGAAGTTGTACATTTATTTTGCATTATTAATTTAACTCATGCAATATTCCATAACTATAGATGTACTACTTATGGCAGGGTCTACCACAGTTCTTTGGAATGATAGGTAGGATCGGGCTTTATTAATTATTTTACCATTGGTGGGAAATAATCAGATCGGCACAAAGGTCCAGATGTTTGAGTTTCAACAGCATATGCTTTTTATTTAGAACTCTTTTATAATATCTTATATCTATAGCCATGGCTTTCGACGGCAGTTAATTGAAGAATAAGACACAAGTCTTCGTCTGATACCTCTTCTGTTCCATTCGTAGTGCCATTCTGTCCCTCCTGATATTAGTCAGAACCGTCCAGATATTCATGTTTGATCAATAAATCATCCATCTGATTCTCCTGATGTAAAGCTATCCATATATTCCTACTTGACCACGTGATTTAAAAAAAAAGCCTAAGCTCTATGAAGAAAACGTGAACAAAAAGCTTAGGCAAAACTTCAAATAGGCAGCAACAAGATTAGCTACAAAGCCTTACTTCATAGGAGACTTCATACTTGGCTTTATATTGCTGGCAGTCATGAATTAAGTTATTTGAAATTATTTAGCTAGCCAAAAACAATTCACTTGGATGTCAAATTTGAATGCTCATTAAGAGTTATTCAATCCCAAAGACTTTTAGACTCTCCCTTATATAGTTGTATACAGATAGCAATAGCTGATTGGCAAAGTGATTTAGTTACATAGGCGGCATTGATCAGCAGCCCTTTTACTCCCTCAATCCCTGACAAGTACAATTAAAACTTAAGAACAATCAAATTTCGAGTAAGAAAATAAATAAGCCCTTCACTTTGAGGCGCCCGAGGACTGCCCACAAATCATTGCCATCATTAATTTGAATGCGGAACAAAAGGCGTGGAAAGTCACAGCCTGTTGAAAAGTGCCCAGTCAAAACAGAAGGATGGGGGCTAATGAAAGGCCCGACAGTTCTGGGTTTCATGCTGGAGAAATGGCTGGAAAAATGTCAGAAAAATTGCCTACTTTTTGCATTGTTGTTTTTCAATTTTCGGAAAATAAACACGCAATCAGAAAACTTAAAGCGATTCCTTAAGGGTGTCGCACATGTGGCAGCGAGCCAGCCAAAAATAGTCAATAATTTGCTGTGAGTGCTAATGCCTGCGGCCAGGCGGCAAACAATTTCGAATTTATGCCTCGACTGGCGGCAAAAGCGGGGAGCCAACGAGCGAACCCCATTTGCATTTATAAATTGTTGCCAAGCCGAAATATTTGACAAGCCAGGGACTGTGTATCTTGATGAGGCGAGCGACATTGTCTGCGCTTAATTATGGGCGCAAATAAATGTCTTTCATTTGGGTTATGTGGTCCAGGAGACTTTTGGACTTTTAATGAGATATTGACACAGCTCGCAGCAGGTGGGGAAAAGTAGAGGGAAGGGATCAGGCGGCGTTGCTGCAGAGAGGAGCATAACTGAGGATAACTGAAATCTCAGCAGGTGCTGCAACAATTATAAATACAATTTTAACATAACACATTATTGGGGGTCTACAGGGTGCCCCCTTTCGGCGGCCTAATAATTAAGACCAATTAATGACCGAGTGACCAGTCAACTGCACATCAAAGCTGTTGCATTGCAACGGCAATCGGACCGACAGGCGATAAGATCCAAGACTACAGGACTCTGTCAATCGCTAACAGCTTCATTTGTCTTTGTTAAGTCCTGCGACAAGCTCGTTTTCTCTCCCCCCACGCAGAGCCTGCTGGGTCGTCGAGTCAAAGCAAATAAAACCACATGCTGTGTGGTGCTTATCTTGACAGCAAACATTTACAAAAATACGCAGCCAGGGAGCGAGCAGAAACACGTCTTTATCGCAGGCAAACACAACAATTTCCAATTTTCCCATTGGCTTGCGCGTCTTGGTTGCCCTTCAGGCGCATCTTTCTTTTTAAATACTCCAGAGGTAGATTAATCATTGGGTTGGCTCGACTTTTGCCTCCATCTAATAAGCTACCTGCCTCTGGAGCAAGTTCGCCCAAATCCAATTATAATTGCGCTTATCAAAAATAAGTTTTCGATACTCTTGCTCCCTTTCTGGAGTTTGGCATCCGCTGAGGCCCTTGTTGTCTCCACTTTGACACCGTCGCTGCCAATTTCGCCAATATGGCAATTTAATCCACACAATCAGTTTAAGGCATCGCCATTTATCTCGGGGTAGAATCCCCAATGTGTGTTTGTGCACCTGGGTGTATTGCTCCAGTGGATCAGTGCTTTGTGCAGGGTTTGGCTCCATCGCTGTCAATTAACTCAAGTTTAATTGAAGGTGAAATTGTGAAAAAGAAAACTTGATGTGGTCATGCAGCACTGAATGAAAGACGGAAATATCAAGAACACTTCCTGAGTGTGTTGCTTGCGACACTAATAGATGAAAGCACATTGTGGCAAAGATGATGTCAACTCCTGTTGAGCTTTCACTCGTCGAGCTGCAGCTTGTTGCATTTAAATTTGAGAGTTTCCACCCCAAAGTCTAATTGGACGGGCTTGCCTTTACCTACACCATTGTGCCTGAGCCAGTTCAATGAAAAGGCCTAGGTTTAATTATACTTAAAATATACATCCGGACTTTCGCCCATCCATAGATTGTAAAATAAATTGGGGGACTTCACTTTTCATTTCATTTTAGGCATATAATAAATTTTCTCTTAAAATTCATTTCATTAAACAATTTCCATGAGCTTGCGACATGGACACAAAAGCTGAGGGCCAGCCACGGAAATCTTTTGTTTATGCGCCCGTGCTCCGGTCCCGGTTTCCCCGCTGCCCATTTCCCATTTCCCGTTTCCCACTTCCCGCACCCGCAGCCCCTGGTTCCGTGCTCCACCAAATTAAGCAAGCTGACAATTTTCTCTCTAAACTGTATAACAACTTAATGAGCCAGCATAACTCTGGCGCAACGCTGAGAGCAAAAGTCTGCCTGATATTTTTTTAAAGGGCGGGGCGCAGGGACGCAGGTCTGATAAAAAAAGCTCGTAAACTTGGCCCGAAGGCAATGCTGACTACGAGGATGCGTCGCAACAGTAAAAGTCATTATTCAGTGTACTAGAAGCTGGCTGCAGGCCCCGCCGAACCCGCTGCGGCCCAAAAAACACTGCGTGTAAAAAATAATCAACTTTTGCAGGCAACTGTCACACGTTGTTCCAGCCTGGTGGCAAGTTTCGCGCAAAGTTTCGTGCTCGGCGTGGAGACAACTTCCGTTTTTGGCAGGAGCACTTGCCTTGGGGCCATATTCACTCGCATATGGCCATGTCCTGGCCATGTAGCGACTATGGACTCGGCCATGCTCCCTTACAAATGACGCATTAATGAAGTGATTTCGCCTTCGTCGTGGGGATTGAATTTTTGGATTTCCTTCTTTCTGCCAGCCCACTCCGACGCTCATTAACTTCCGTTTGAGGGCGCCCACTAAGCCAACGCCCACACTCAACCGCCCCTTCCTAAACCTGGGAGCTGTTTGTTGCTTTATGCAAATGCTATTCTTGTTGTTATTGCTCGCGCCGCCGTTGCTGCTGCTGCGGCAGCTTCTGCTGTCGTTTTTGTTGTTTTTGGTTTTATAGGAAAACACGCAAAGTAAACAAACTTTGGCCCTCCGCGCTCCTTGGAGGACGCGAGTTCGCCAGCTTCCCGGCATGTTTGTACATATTTTAATTACGCGCTCCTGATTGGAGTAGCATTTGGCGAAGGCAAGCCCAGAGAGCGTGGAACGTGTGCAACGCGTTGACAACTGCGCCCAGCTGTCGCCTGCCCACAATTTTTGGTTACCCAAAATTGACATTTGGATTGTGTTGAAACGGGGAGTTTTCTTAAATATACATTAATTATTATGATAGTCCAAAACGTATTTATTGTGTGTGCATATTCGTGAAAATAATTTTTCAAGTCGAACGTGACTTTGTCTTTCCTAGTGAGACTTCTCAGCTCACTTCAGCCCGGATTGGCTACGAACAACCTCATGTCTTCGGATACTTGAGGACACGTGTTGCGTAGAAATTAGCATTGATTAGGGACAAGTATGCAACATATTATTGTGGAAGGCAGTAAACAACTTAATAAATAAATTTCTTGGCACAGTGGAGGACCTTCATAAAAAGAGGGCCAAGCAATAAGCAAAAGTGTCGATGAATTCATGCAAGCTGCAAACAAACGCAGAGCAACAAATCTGACGAAAAATATGATACAGTTCTCTTTCGAAATTCATATATTCTGGCAGCTGCAAAATGGGAATCAACTATGGCAACATGTTGACTTGACAGACGGAGAGTGAAATTTCCGAGCAATTGACACCCTTTTGCAATCTGGCAAAAGGCACTTCAAGCTGAAGTCAACCCTCGATGGGTTTATGGCTTATAAGGGCAATTTCAATAAATTTGAGGCCGCCTGCACCGCCCGCAACAATATCTGACTGTATGTATATAAGAATTTTTGCATAGCACCAAATCAGATTATATTTTCTTTTTTTTATTATTCGTTTGAACAGGGTTAGGGTGGGTTTTATGTGCTGCTGTGGGTGAAAAAACTCATTGCTGCAATCAATAAATCGATGTGAAAAGTCATTAACATAAATTACAGCAACAGACAATTAACAATCGACCTCCAATCATCATCAACAATTGGCATAATCCACTCAACGTCGGCGAGCTCGCTGCGAAAATTGCCTCGTTTTAAATTGCAAATAAATTTTGATGGCATTAAATATTATAAAGCGCATACATAAGCCTCCGACGTGCGCCATAAAGGTATCAGCCCTGTTAATTGTGCGCTTAATTAAATTTTCATGCAGGTGTAATAAATGATTTTCGCCTCCGATGTCTAATTAGATTTCCGTTTTTACGACCCTCATCGCCCCCTCTCGCATTGTCAGTGACCATTGACTGACATTGCTCACCATTGTGTCAAGTGCCTAAGGCCGCAATTATGTTCGCACAACTGAACAATTCGACGTCGCCTGAATAACTGAATAACTGAATAACTGAACAGCCGAACAACCGTATATCTGGCTAACCGATGAGAACATAGAAGCTTGGTGCGATGCACCTAAAGCTTAAATGATTGTATATCACTTTAAATTTAACAGAATTAAGTTTTCGAACTTGTTCCTAGTCCCAATTGTACAACTTCCCCGGAGCGGGAAGCGCAGACTTGCCTTTTGGCTTTCCATCTTTATCAGGCTCTATATTCGCCGTGTGAGGCTGACTGGATTGGTCTGTCTTCGTAGGATCTGCGGCTGTTGGTGCTGGTGCTGGTGCTGGTGCAGAGGCTTTTGCTGGGGCTGGTGCTGGGGCTGGGGCGGTTCCTGTACCGCCCTTAGGAGCTGGTCCGGCAGCAGCGCCAGGCTTAGTGTCTTTCGGGGCAGCCTTAGCAGCCGCTTTAGCAGCTTCAGCAGCCTTCGCGGCGGCTACTTCTCTTTTCTTCTGCTCAACTAAGTCAATAGGCGGCTTCACCTGACGTCGCGGATCTCTTAGATAATACTGATTACCAAATAGTCGAGTTGGGGATCCCTCTGGAATATCGGGTGGCCGCTGGATACGTGCACTTATTGTGTCTGCATAGCGATTGTTGGTCACGTGTTTACGTCCCAAAAGGAAGTCCCGAATGAGCTTCAAAAATGGCGAAATCTCCCGATGGTTGGGTGCCATATTTAAAATAATATATCTTATTGTATAATGTTAAAAATCGATGACTGAAATATTATCACAGCTCAAAATGTTTTATGAAGGCCTACTTTAGAGAGTGCTTATGCTAAAAGTACTTGTAATGTTCCACCTAACGTCGTACCGTTCCTCCGCCTCTCCCAATTGAGTCTCAATTCAATAAGCATCAATCGCATTTGACTGTCAATCAAATTGCGCATCAAAGCTGTCAATGAATTTTAATATTGCCACAACAGCGGTAGAAAAGAAACAAAAGGCACGCTGCGGAACTCCAGCAGGAAATGAAGATTGGGAGATGCCAGCTTGACGCAAGTGAAGATGCGTAATGAAATATTCGCACTTTTGGAAGTCAGAGCGCAAATGTCCAATTGAAATTAATAAAAACACTACAATTTCCGATGCCAATCAGAGAGCAAAAAAATGAAGAGCTCAGGACAGCGACACAGGGCGATTCTGACAGCCGCACGCGTCAAGCTTTACTGTACTTAGTAGTCTCCCCCGCCCAGCCCAAGCTGTCAGTGTGACAGCCCCCATGGCCGGAAGTCTGCATGCCGAACGTGTGAGATGTTTATCAAATGCGCAAGATCCTTAGAACTCCGCTCACATTTCATCAGATAAGCAGCTTGTCGAGATTTACGAAATCGAGCTGATTATGTCTTTGTGATTGGCACAGGCCAGGCAGGACCTGGTCGCGTGTCAAAGGGTGGTCGAGCCCATTGCTGACTGTTTACCTTTTGGATTTTCCATAGCTCGAAACTCTCCCACACAACATTTCCACGGTAGCTGGAGTTGTTCTCAGCGCTTATCTGTTGTTATACAAGCGGCATTGGCTATGGGAAATGCATAAATCAGCTTGACTTCTCTCAATTTGATTCTAATTTACGGCACACGTTGCGTTAACATCATTTGCGATAAGCTCGCGCTTCTAAATATCAGGTTTACAACATTCACAATAGAAGCGAGAAATGAATGGGCTAAAGAATTATTTTACACGGTAAATTATATGTTGTTGAAATATGATGATAGAGAAGAATGTTTCTATGAAAAAAAGTACAATTTTCTTACTGTTATGTTTGTCCGAAGTTACAAATTCTAAAATTCCTGTTTTCTTTCTGTAACTGTTTAATTTTAAAAACTTAATAGTGATGTCTATAATACCTCGAAATTGAATATAATATATTCGGAAAATTTTAGTATGCTCAGCTAAATTTTTCTGTTGGTTTTGAAAGTGAAACAAATTGTTTAGTCTTACTTCGCTGAGTGGAAATTAATTCAACAACAACAAAGAATAAATATATAGTGCTTTTAAATGTATCGGAATATAAAATATTTAATTGCAAATCTTATGAAAACGTATAGGCTTTATAGGATATATATATAAATATATATATAAAAGAGTTAATGAGTAATAACAAGACGGACTGTCCCTTACTAGGGTTAGATCGAACCGTTTAATGTGCAAATTATTACTGAATTAAATCGAAAAATATCTTTAAAGTCATTTTATTCTGCTGACTTTTTCAGGGCATCAAGGAATGTACAGTATTCGTTGCAATAATGCTACGTTGCTTATTCATCAATCCAATGTATAAACTTGTATTAAGTTTAATTGTTGTAGATTTATAGTGACAAAAAAAAGTTTATTTAGAAAAAAATATAAAAGAAAAGATAAATAGGTGATATTAGAAGTGTCCTTAAGAGACATAGTATTATACCTATTTAGTTAACTTGATCTCATCATACTGTACTATAATACATAGCATTCTTTAGTACAATAAGTACAAACAAATGTGCCAAAATAATAGAGAAATAATTTGTAGAAACAAACATTTTAATTATACGACTACAAATTATATTTTGGAAGACAAAACTTTCGATTGCTGCAATAGTTGAAATTCTTATCATTATTTTAATATAGTATAAGAACATGGAATGCTGACTTGATATGGAAAATGTCACAATGTAGAAGTCTTATATCTTCAGCAAGCTGCGTAAGGTCCTTCAATTTAGGGCATTGATGTGAATGTGAGTAATGAACGAATGCGAAGCATTATTAAAATTTTTAATATACTTTTAATAAATCAAAACTTAAAATGCTTCGGACGGCATTGTGCCGAGTGCTATAAACTGAATGGATTTTTGTCAGTATTTTGTGAAAAATGGCACGCACGAGCGGAAAAACCTTGGAGACGACATTCAATGCGCCTCTGATGTGCCTTCAGGAAGGGGTGCGTGGCACGCTGGGGGGTGGCAACGGCAGTGACGGTGGTGGTGGATGGCATGGATTGTCACACATGCGGTTGACGTGTTCTCGTGTTCTGATTTAACTAATTGACACATGCAGCAAAGGAAATCAATTCGGGAATTCAGTAATTCGAGCCGGCATCGAGCACGGGCAGAAATCACGCTGTGGCTTCAACTTTAGGGCGCAAAAATGCTATGAAGAGATCTAGCTAGCCTCTGCTGTGTGTTCGAGTGTAATTCGATATGTCAACAGTGTCGGGAGGTTGCTTGAAAATGTAAAGAAGCAAAGATACTTTGCGAAAAGTAAAAGTAGCGAAGGTCAACATCATCAAAATGTCTGGCTAAACTTGCGGGCAGGACAAACACACATGCTACATGCCACATGCCCCCTGCCACATGCCCTGCAGTCGCTCCACGGAGCTGCCCATGTTCCTCTCGGCTGCTGGTAGCCGAAGGCCAAAGAAGCTGCTTGCTGCGTCTTGTAGTGAAAATGATAATGTTAAAGTTTACAACTTAAGTCGTCAAAGTCAAACACACTCTGGGGAAATTACAAACACATTCGTGACAAGGCTGTGAGGCTGCCCCAGTACTTTTCCACTGCCACTGCCAATGCCGCAGACTTCCCGTTGCATGGGGAGGTCAAGAGCTGAGGGTGGCGACACGAACTTTTGTCTTATGTGATGAAATGGACTCGCACCAAGTTTACCTGTTCTAGTCTTAAGCTGACTATCCGATGTTCTGTTTGTTGTTCTAGCTCCTCTTGCTGCTGTTGTTGTTGCTGTTGTAATGCTCTTTTATGCTTTTACAGCGCTTCGGGGTAGTATTAGTGTAAAGCTCGCCCAGACGCCACTTTTGGTGGCTTAACTTTGAGATACAACAACAGTGGGCCCCGCTTGTTCTGCCCGGCCATTAGCATAAATAAACGCTCTAAGTACGCCCCATAAAGGTGTAAATGCTTGATATTATTAGCCAAGCCAAGCCAAGCCAAGCCAAGGCTGAGCGAAGCTCTGGAAGTCTGCAAGTCTGAGAAACCGCCAACGGCCTGCGACGGGGCACTTTTGCTAGCGCTAAAATTTTATGCTGCGTCAACACATAAAATTTGCTCTCAAGTATTTCATAAAATTTTGTGGCGCATCAGAATAAGTTGCAATCCGGTATGGACTTGACTTTTGTTGTCTCATCAAATGAAATTTTATTAAATGAGACCAAAGTTTTGCTGTGAATTAGCTGAGCGTGTTGGTTTCTTGAAGTTAACTGATGATCATAAAGCTTAAAATACTCAAACATAATGAATAGAACAAAGATAATCGATATATAGGAATATACCTATTCACACATATGCCAACTTTCGGGGAACTCTTTTGCTCTGCAACGTCTCGTCTGCTTCTGCAACTGCAATATCCAATTTTTTTCATTTCGATTTTCGATTGGAACGAGGCATAAGTAATACCCTCATTAAAATGCGCAAACGTTCTGTTTATGCACTGAAATTACGTTTGAGTTTCTCTCCATTGAAGTGGCGCTCTATTCATTTCGGGTGCTAAATGCACAGCCTTTATTCATTTCATGGCCACGTTTATTGTTTTCCAAGTCATTTTCGGCATCTTATCAATTTTACTTACAAAGGCAGCAGCTGCCTGGCACAGCTCCCGCAGCTCCTGCCCCGTCTGCCCTGCTTGTCTCCTCCGGCTGCTCTTGCTGGTCCTGGCAATAAAAGAGTAACCATTGTTTCCGTTCGGCTGTCATTGATAATGGAGACACCCGGAACATTGTCTTTGGGAAACGCCTCCTTGCTGATGGTGGAACACTTCAGCTGGCTTCCGTGAAACGTGACTCTCTTATCAATTCGACTTACTTATTGTGAAGCAGCAGACGCCGTTCCTCGGGCTGCTGCCAGCTACAGAACGCTATCGCAACGGCAATTAAAATTTGTAGCTATTGGTAAATGGCGACTACAATAGGGAGTTCCAATTCGATTTCGATTGCGCATCGTTTGCAAATCATTTCGCAATTGCCCAGAATTGGAATGGGTTTGGGGCAACTACTTCCGCTGCTCCCCTTCAATCTATATTTGGCCACGCTCCCACCTCCCCCTCTCTGCTATCCCTATCCAATTACTCGGCCTCATTTTTCACAGTGACAGGGCAATGGGCGTTAATTGCGTGGGTTTGGTTAACGTTGAGATAAGCGCGCGTGATTTTCCTACGAATTTTATACCCAACGGGCACAAACGCCCATCGGTTGGAGGGGTTGCTCAAATTTTGACTTGTTACGAGCTTGGCGGAATTTTTTTTATCTCCATCTTCAACAATTCAAATGAGTCTTGCCTTTGGGCGTGCTGCTCGCGCGGCGATAAGAGCACACAGGGCAGGAGGTCAAAGTATATTTTTTGAATTGGCAAAACGTGCTGCAGATGGCTTAATTACGTCTGAAGAGCCAACTTTGATCTTGACTTTTGTAAGGTAAAACTCAAGCCGTTGCCTGGCCTGAGCGGAAATTTGAAACATAAAAGATTGATTTGCAAATGCGCAACAATTTCAATCAGTGTGTGCTTTAAAGAGCAACTTCTGATGCCTTAAAAAATTATTTCACAAAGATATCAAATGTAGAAGACGGCGATTTGAAACTAAATATTTGTGAACTGCACGAAACGTCATTTAAATAAAATGCTTCAATGTTAATATAGTGAAAAATTAACATCATAATCTTATTCGACTTAAACCATTTTATTGTAATAATCTTTAAGGATATTTTTGCAATAATAATCGAGTTCGGGCCGTCGAAAATCGAAAACATTTTTAACAATTTCAAATATCTATTTAT